TAGACTTGTTTGTCTTTTCATCATCATGTTGCTATCAGTTTCTTATTGACTTGTTTGTCTTTTCATCATCATGGTGCTATCAGTTCTTGTAGACTTGTTTGTCATTTCATCATCATCATGGTGCTATCAGTTCTTGTAGACTTGTTTGTCTTTTCATCAGCATGGTGCTATCAGTTGTTGTAGACTTGTTTGTCTTTTCATCATCATGGTGCTATCAGTTCTTGTAGACTTGTTTGTCATTTCATCATCATCATGGTGCTATCAGTTCTTGTAGACTTGTTTGTCATTTCATCATCATCATGGTGCTATCAGTTCTTGTAGACTTGTTTGTCATTTCATCATCATCATGGTGCTATCAGTTCTTGTAGACTTGTTTGTCTTTTCATCATCATGGTGCTATCAGTTCTTGTAGACTTGTTTGTCATTTCATCATCATCATCATGGTGCTATCAGTTCTTGTAGACTTGTTTGTCTTTTCATCATCATGGTGCTATCAGTTCTTGTAGACTTGTTTGTCTTTTCATCATCATGGTGCTATCAGTTCTTGTAGACTTATTTGTCTTTTCATCATCATGGTGCTATCAGTTCTTGTAGACTTGTTTGTCTTTTCATCATCATGGTGCTATCAGTTCTTGTAGACTTGTTTGTCATTTCATCATCATCATCATGGTGCTATCAGTTCTTGTAGACTTGTTTGTCTTTTCATCATCATGGTGCTATCAGTTCTTGTAGACTTGTTTGTCTTTTCATCATCATGGTGCTATCAGTTCTTGTAGACTTGTTTGTCTTTTCATCATCATGGTGCTATCAGTTCTTGTTGACTTGTTTGTCTTTTCATCATCATGGTGCTATCAGTTTCTTGTTGACTTGTTTGTCTTTTCAACATCATGGTGCTATCAGTTCTTGTTGACTTGTGAGTTTTGATTGTCCCCTTGGTACATTCTGCCACTTTTTTGGATAACATATACATGGTTAAAAACAATTGGTTAATAAAATCTGTGAAAATAACATGTGGGGTGTTGAATCAGATATGAAATGAGTTTGTCAAATAAAACATGATGTTACATTACATAGACAATCTCAACTTTTTTATTTGGTTTTGACCAATTTAAATAAATTTTCAAATCTGATGGATAATTAAACATTTGAGTGATATCAAGTATTTCCAGTTTTATGTGGGTAGAGTAAAAGTGGAGGAAATCTTTCCTGAAAACTTCATCAATTTTCATACAAGGATATACATACTTCAACTGATACTCACTCAGTATCTCGTCCCTCTTTCAGTACTCCCACACTTTGACAACTACACATAACAGTTAAGATATTAAGAGCAGATTCAGAATGTATGTATTTTCATTCAACTTTTGGACCAACAAATAAAGAGTGTGAAATAAATATCTTTCAAGTCTCTTAGCAAATTCGTTATATTTTTAAAGACCTTCAACTTTAACTTCATACAGATCTATCAATTATTTTATGCTAAAATGGTATGATTTTGTAGAAGTTTATTTTTAGGCAAAATAGAGCCCTCAGGGGACCTCCTCGTTCTGAAGTTGATTTAGACATATACTAAACTAAGACCTTGGATGTATTTAACATTTTATGACATAATTGCTCTAAAGTGACTTGTGCAATGTAATGCAAATAAAAAGAGAGGATAAAATATGTTGATAATATTGAATTTCTGTACCATTGTCATTGTTGACTGAAGAACAGCTTGGTACTGTGTTGTTCTTAAGCTGTAAATAAATATATCACATATTTTTTTTGTGACAAGACAAAGATAGATAGGGGATTATAAACACACAAAGTGATGAAAAATCACTTACCATATAAATATATTCACTTAATCTCCCTAAATCTAGTCTGCTCATGCTTTCTTTTATATTTCTGTCAATTTAGAAAAAAAATAAATTTATAAGAGACAAACTGTTGTCAGGAGGTTGGGTCAAACAACACCAACATTTGATTCATATTTGAATGCAAACAATAAAATTTATTAAAAATGAGTTTGTTGAACATAAAAAACAGCGGCTGGTCTGATTTAACATGAAGTAAAATTTATCCTCCATTTCGTAGGAAGAATTTATTTTCTGTTTGGTTTTTTCAAATTTGAATTTTATAAACATCCTTAGATGGCTTTATCTTACAGTATCTTTGTGTCTTTGTGTTTTTCAACAGGTTTTTATTTAATTCAGACCAGTCGCTGTTTGGTGTCTTTAAAGTTGTTTTACAGCTTTTTACTTGTTTCCAACAACTTGACAGATTTGATCTGGATACAAACATGTACATCTTTCTGTAATTAAGTCCTTATTCTGCATCTCATACTTGTCATGTGAAGCCAAAAAACTTGATTTCAATCACATCTTACTTTAGACCTAATTTCTTAATTTTGCTTCACCCCTTCTATAAGTTTGGAGCTTTTGGCTTGACCTTTTTTAATCATTGCAACCTTTTCAACCCTTCCTTGTTCTAATTTTATTTTACTGCTCTCCTCAGCAAGCCTACTTTAAAGTTAAGAACACATTTTTTTTCCGCTTTAATAAGTGACTGTAATCCAGTGTATTTATGGTCAGAATGCAGATTTTACGCTGTGTCCAGACAAATTTATTACTAGACACAGAAAATGTAATTACCTTGTCTTAGATATGGGACATTATCTTGTCTTGTTATACCCGATTCTAGTGACATACATTATATTAAGATAGACAGTCCTTGAGATTGTAACATTGCTAAATCTTTTCCATCAAAGTAGATTGTGTCATAGAGCAGCTGAAAATCTTAATGTTTCAGAGGAATGATGGTAAAGTCAGTCATAGGCATCTTAATCTTAATTATAAGCAATTGCTTGACATATTTTTATGAGCAACTATAATAATGTCAAAGCAGATTGTTGTCCCACAGCAGCATAAAGCCATGTAGTGAACTTTTAACATGTCTGAGTAGATTTAATCAATCAGCGACAAACATTCTCGAATAAGTTCTCGATCTCTTTTGAAAGTTTAATTTAATCATTTTTATTGCTTGACGGAGTCAAAAAGCGAGACATAGGTATGCTGTTTCAGGCATCAGCAACGGCGGTGTCAACAATGTATTAGTTTGTGATTAGGTCTAGTTTGTGGTGAACCACAAGTTTTAGGTCAATCATATTTGGTATACAGTTGTATTAGCATTGGCCCATCTCATTTCCATGGAGATTATTTGGCCCTGCCCCCTCAGCCATGGTCTATTGACTTTGAAACTTTTGCTTATTTTTCATGTATTAGTTTGTGATTAGGTCAGTTTATGGGGATCCATTAGTGGTAGGTTAATGATATTTGGTATACAGTTGTATTAGCATTGGCACATCTCATTTCCATGGAGATTATTTGGCCCTGCCCCCTCAGTCATGGTCTATTGACTTTTAAACTTTTGCTTATTTTACATGTACTAGTTTGTGATTAGGTCAGTTTATGAGGAACCATTAGTGGTAGGTCAATGATATTTGGTATTCAGTTGTATAAGCATTGGCACATCTCATTTCCATGGAGGTTATTGGCTCAGCCCCCTTAGTCATGGTCTATTGACTTTGAAAATTTTGCTTAGTTAACATGTATTAGTTTGTGATTAGGTCAGTTCAAGGGGAACCATTAGTGGTAGGCCAATGTTAATTGGTATTCAGTTGTATAAGCATTAGCGCATCTCATTTCAATGGAGAATATTTGGCCCCATCCCCTCAGTCATGGCCTATTGACTTTGAAACTTTTGCTTAGTTTACATTTATTAGTTGGTGATAAGATCAGTTTAAGATGAACTTCTAATGTTAAGTCAATGATATTTGGTATGCAAATTTATTGGCATTTTGTAAGTATCATTTCCATGGAGATTATATAGCTCCACCCCCTCTTCATGGTTCATTGACTTTTAAACTTTTACAGTTTACAAGTTAATGTTTGTGTTTAGGTTTGTTTAAAGGGAACAACTTATAATAAGTCAATGATACTTGGTATGCAGTTGTATTAGCATTGACACATCTCATTTACATGGAGATGGTTTAGCCAAGTACCTCAGTCATGGTTCATTGACTTTGAATATTAGCCTAACTTGTTAAGTATTGCCATTTTAATTTCAACATTTGCATAATCAAAATTACAAAAAAGCGAGACATATCTCTGTGATAACAGTTTATTGTTAATTTGAATAATGTAATTGTGTAAACATTATATGTTAGTGATTAAACTTTATATGCATGGATGATTAAACTTCGTATGCATGGATGCATTCTATGGTATGGGTTTATGTCATGGTTTTCATTTTTGTACATTTACTCAGATATTCAAGCTACGAAATGATGTGTATGTGTATAACCAGACTTGTCAAGACAGCCATGTTATTGAAAATCCCTTAAGTTTTGATTGGTGTATGAATCTTTCTGTTCTAAAAATAGGTTCAATTACAATTATGGACAAAGGAAGATAACTCCAAATCAAAATATTGCCTAAATGTGTTACTTGCTTAATATAAATTTTAAGTTCACATTGCAAAATGATAGCAAACTTTACCCTTCACTGCTCACAAGCACTTCCATAGCTGAAATTTAGTTGTTTTGTTGGGTTGGTGTCTCACTGACAAATTACAATATCTCTCTTTTATGGACAACTGTACATGAAAAAAGTATCACTTGTCATTACCACTTAATGAGAAGAAGGTACAACTAAGACCACTTTATTGAAATAAAATAAAAAACAAAATTTTACAGACTTGGACTTTGTAACTTTGTAAGATAGTGTTTGGACTGGCTTTGAATAAGGTTGACGATCGAACCATGTCAAATGTATCTGTCTTTTTGTATATCATGAACATAAGATCTTAACTGGTTGGCCCAGTTTTATTTTTATATTTTTTATTTTTGTTCAGTACTACCCTTCCCCTGACAGTTCTATATTTGTTTATTTTTTTATCTTTTTCAGTACTACCCTGCTCCCAATAGTTGTATTTTTATATCTTTTTATATTTTTCAGTACTACGGTTCTCCCGACAGTTCTATGAAACAGTCTGCAAGAGAACAGAAAAGAAGACCTAAGCCAAAAGATGGATCATTACTTGTGTGTGGTGTCTGTGGAGACAAGGCACTTGGATATAACTTTGATGCCATAACTTGTGAATCATGCAAGGCTTTCTTCAGACGTAATGCTCTCAAAACTAAGGTATTTTACTCAATATCATTCACTTTGAATTTTAAACCAAAATAAAAGTGCTATTTAATTCATTTGAAATACAATGTAATAAATCCACAATATTTTATTAGGGCCCTGCCTAGTGGCAGGTCACCCTATAGTGATCAGTCTGTAAATCCCTCTGTCTGTAACAAATTGTGTCCGCTCTATATCTAGAGAACCGTTATAATTTTATACTTGACATACATATTAACCAACACCAGTGGGTGTGTCATGATGTTTGTACAACTTCCTAAGTCAAAGTTCAGGGTCAGCGGGGCCCACAGAGATGGCTCCCATCTCAATGATGTCTAGTTTAAATGAAGTCACTTCTAAAGTGAAAAAAAATAGAATATATCTGTGGGGTTTCTATCACCTCCGATAGGAAATTTGATACCTATGCTACAAGGGAGAGGGTATACTGGTTTTCCTTTCTATATGTCTGTCGGTCCCATTAAAAATATTGTTGCATTTTTCTCAGGAACTGCAAATCAGAGCTTTCAGAAATTTGATGTCAAGCTTTTAAGTTTATAGCATGCTTTTTGCTGTGATGCATTTTCACATTCATCGCTTATCAATTTTCTATTTACTGTATGCTTAAATATTTTTATGATTTGACAATAAACTGAAATTACCAAATTCCACAAATAATAAGTTGTAAGTTCAGATTGTAGTAATTTTGTGCTGAGTTGCGGAAATGTTGTTTGAGTGATGTTAACACATTTCTTTGGAGAAAAAAAAAAGAGAAGGTTTTCTTGTGACAAAATATGAAAACATTATATTTGCTCCAAACTGTTATTGCATTCCTCCTTCAGCCATCTATTCTTATAAGCTAATGGTGGTGTCAGTGCCAGGGACAATTACGTAACAACCACACACCGTGTACACAATGATGGAATATCCATATAATCAATCTCAATTCTATTTTCTTTTGATTGTAAAGAGAATTTATGAATAGAAAGTTACAGTAAATACCCAGTAGGTTTACAGAGAAATTCAATAGATAGGATTTAATAGACATTTCAGTTCTTGTCGTGATAAGAAGTTTAATGAAAATGGTGAAAAAAGGTTTTCAAAGCAAAATGCATGAAATTTAATGAGAAATCCTAACATTGAAAAGTCATTTTATATTTTCACTAAAAAAAACTTTTTTAAGCATATGAATAAAAGGAGATATGGGGTACAAGTCAATGAGACAGCAACCCAAGGAAAATAATAACCAAATTCATCTATAGAGCATAATGTACCATGTATACAGCCTTCAACAGTAGAAAATTTTTCGGAGACTCGAAACTTCTCCAAGTCTCAAAGAGATGTGATCAATTGTATAAGAGACTTGAAAGTTGTAAATAAATTAGGCAGTCATTTTCTCCAATTAAGAATTGTTCTGTTTTGTCAGTTTTATCTAAAGCAGTTAATGGAGTGTTCACAAAGTCAACCAAACCATAGTCTGTTAGAAACACTAAATACTGTGGATTCGTTCATTTTTGTGGGTACCAATTTTTGTGGATTGAAGAAAACCTACAATTTCGTGGATATTATATTTTGTGGTTTTGTCAAATTTGGCATACAAGTCTTTAGAAAATTTGTAATTCTTTGAACATTCAAATTCGTGGTTCACATACACCCATGAAATCCACATAAATTGGTGGCCATCGAATAATAACGAATTCACAGTACATGTAAATTGAATTGAGTTATAACATGCATACTGCGTCTCTAAAGAGGTAGATGTAAATTGGATTAAATTAAAATATGAAAATATTAAAAGAAAATTGTTAGAATGTGTAGTTTCAAATAGTTAACTTCGAAGACTATGAAAATAAGAAGTCCAAATGATTTCACTAAATTTACCATCATTTTAAAGTGAGTTTGTTAAAGAGAGACATCTTGTTTCGCAGGACATACTTTGAATTTAATTGCCTTGTAAATGAAATTGCTTTAAAATGTCATCTGTTGAATATCATCAGATCATCAGTGAGGTGAATTTGAATTCAAGTGAAAAGTTAATAGTTTAATTTAAAGTTTCAATTAGTTTATGACAAACATTTAAATGTTTCTGTGTATCTGTTACACATTAACTAGTTAGCATTTTATTCAGCATACTGCCTATCATAAAATCTTCATACTTCTTTAACAAGATTCCATTAAAGATATATTATGTTACTCATTTTATCAACATTTTGTTTGCTGACTTTATAACTTTAGTTTACATGTACTGTGGATTCATTTTTTGTGGATTGAGGAAAATTTTTATTTTCGTTGATATTTGATTTTGTGGTTTTGTCAAAGTCTGCATTCAATCTTATAGAAAATTTGTACATTTGGTTCAAACTGTACCCACACGATCTAGGAAAATAGGTATCCATTGAATAATAGTGAATTCACAGTAATACCAATAAAGAAAATTTAATTGATCCAAATATCAAAGTTCTTATTTGGACATGGTGTTAATGTTTGACATGTTTTCATATGCATTGCTCAACAATGAACATCCTTCTGTTTTCCAAATAGTTGATCCTTTTAAACCCTTTACAATTTATCCAAGAATTGTTAAAGACCTATCTAGAGGATATACAATTTTTTAGAAAGGGACTTCCTGGCATTTTAGAGTATGCCATACAGTGTGGGCACTGGTTGGTCATCAAATGCTGTATGATGACGTAGATGTTTTTCGAAAATTTTATATATCTTTGGATTGCTGTTAATATTATATTGCATGATCTTACATAAACTTGTAATATCATTTTATCTTGGTAACACCTAATTATAATTTATTGATATTGTTACAAATGTTCTCCAACTGAGTAAGATGTCAAGTATGACATATTTTCAATTGTTTTTTTCTCATTTACTTCCTGTTTGTATGAATACATGTATGTAACTTATGTTCTTAACAGGTAATAAACATTGATTAACTCATACTTCTAATCAACTTATAATAATGTTTTCTTTATATTTGGTACCAAGTTTAAACTTTGCTAACAAAAGCAATTGAATAACCCATTAGATACATGATACAGGGATAATCATGTTTGGTAAACAGATATATGTCCCTTCAATGCAGTGCACATACACTTTCTTTGTCTAATTTACTCAGCAAGTCTTAGCCATAGTATCTTTATATTTGATACCTCGTTATCATCTATATCTTGTTTTCCAACTGACATGTTTGACATTTGTATAAGTCCTATGTAGTAAGTAAGCAGCTCCAGTTAAAAACAAAATGGACTGTACAGGAGAAAAATTCAGAACACTTTTTTTAATCTTTTTCTTGGAAAATCAAAGTTAATATAAAAGGTATTTTTATATAGCTATGTCAAAGTGCCATAGAAGCATCATATAAACAAGATATTATTTTAGGGAAACATGATGTTGATCAAATTTGCTACAATTTGGGCTGAAACAGCTGTAATGACCTTCAGAATTATTTTCTGTATTTTCATTCATGAGTGAATATGACTTTCTTCAGAGGTAGTAAATCTTTTGATAAAATGGGAAGTTTTTACAGTGGATCCCACTCTCAGCTTTTTATAATCTTTCCTCTAGCTTGTCTACTCACTCAAGCAAGGTGCTGTATAGCTATTGTTGTGTTGGTCAGCCTCTGTATTCATCTTTACTGAAATGTATCCACACATCCTCCTTAATATGTGACTGGGTTTCATTTAATCTTTCATTGAATCATTACTACCTAATGACATTGTCAATGATTGTCATTTTATATCCACAACTCCATGTTATCTTGTGACTGGATTTTAAAGAATCTTTCAAAGAATCTTTACTACCTAATGACATTGTCAATGATTGCCATTCCATGTAACCCAGTCAACTGCATTTCATTGAATCTTTTAAAGAATCTTTCCTGCCTAATGACATTGTCAATGATTGTCATTTTGTATCCACAACTCCATGTTATCTTGTGACTGGATTTTAAAGAATCTTTCAAAGAATCTTTACTACCTTATGACATTGTCAATGATTGTCATTTTGTATCCACAACTCCATGTCATCTTGTGACTGGATTTTAAAGAATCTTTCAAAGAATCTTTACTACCTATTGACATTGTCAATGATTGTCATTTTGTTTCCACAACTCCATGTAACCCTGAAATGTATTTCATTGAATCTTTCAAAGAATCTTTACTACCTAATGACATTGTCAATGATTGTCATTTTGTTTCCACAACTCCATGTAACCCTGTACTGTATTTCATTGAATCTTTCAAAGAATCTTTATTACCAAATGACATTGTCAATGATTGTCATTTTGTTTCCACAACTTCTTTTAACTCTGTGACAGGATTTCAACTCTTGTGATAATTTACACAAAAGTTATTTGCTCTGAGTATGTCATATGGTAAGATAGCAGAGGAAAATGAACACAAATCAGTAGAGATGATTTTCTGGGAATGTCTTCATCTCTGTACTATTTACATTTGTTACTGTGCTTTACCTGTGTAGATGTGAGTTGTTGATTAAAGCTTGATTTGTAGTTATTGATGGTGAAGGTTATGGCTATGTATCTCCTATTGGACTAATAATGACATCTTATCTTATAATCTACTAAGTCACATAAACGTTGATTATTGTGCAATACTATTATGTTAACCAAGAAAATGCAGAATGCAACATGGCGTTATAAAACCCTCATTTCCTGGCAGATTTTCAAAATAATCTTTTTTCTTGTACAATTTTGAAAATGTGAAATGTCAGTTTGTCATAAAAACAATTTTCATCAATGGGGTTTTTGTGAATTTGCACTATGAATCTGAAGAGTCTCATTACAATAAATGTAATGATTTTTTTAACATTTCATAATGCATGTATTAAGTTCTAAATACAGATTGATGAGGAATGTCAAAAATGTGTAACTATTAGAGGCTGCATTTTAAACTTAGGTTGAGGGGTCTTGCAATTTTTTGGAGATCATGTCCATTTCTATGTTTTGTTGTTTTCTTTTTTCTTTGTTTAAAAATTCAAATTATGCCTTATACTTCAATTCTATTTGCTATAAAAAAAAAATAAACCAGATAAATTTTTTTCAAAATCAGTCAATAAGCACAGATACAGAATTGATCACAATAGCAAGGGAATTGGTGAGAAATTTTAGATCATATTTTGTTGTGCTTCATAGTATAATGTATAGAATGACAATTTTAGTTTAAGGTCATATTTTGTTCTGCTTTATAGTATAATGTATTTAATGACTATCTAAGTTTTAGATTATATTTTGTTGAGCTTCATTATATAAGTTTAATGTAAATTGATAATGACTATTTAAGGACAAACATGGTAGTTTATTCATTATCCTAACTTCGTAGGTTATCAAACCAAATCACTGAATTGATTGACTTTATTAATGAGTTTTGATGGTTTATTTTGAACTATTTCCAGGTATTCACCTGCAGCTTTGATGGAAATTGTAAGTTGGACACACACACACGGAAGTTTTGTTCGGGTTGTCGACTGAAGAAATGCTTTGATATAGGCATGCGTAAAGACTGGATCTTAAGTAAGTACTGTTTTTCGATAATTAGACAGAAAACAATAAACAGAAGTGTAGATCTAAAGAGTAGCAAATGAGGGCAGAGAAGACATATTAAATGAACATGACATAACGAAATTAATCATATTACGAACCTCACACAGTGATGCACAGTAATTAATTTAGCATAGTTTTTTTTCTATCTGTGTAAAACATATGTTTTTCCGTGTTTAGGATGCCCAGAAAATAATATCCATACAAGTTTTTCAGATCTTAAGAACAATGAAGGATTTTTTTTGAATATCAGAAATGAATAAATTGAATGCTTCAATTTTAACCACAATAATGCAATTAAAAATATAAAAGTAAAATACCAATTTATACGATACATGTTTTTAGACATTCATAACGAGAAGTAAAATGTCAGGTGTCTGTCCATCCATCTACATACTAAACCTTCAAGCAGATGTGTCTTTTATCAAATTGAAAAAAAAAATATTCTAAAAGCTTAACTGAATATTAATTTTTTACTTAATATTAAGTTATTTATAAAAGCCTCTGTGATAACCTTTTCTAGTAAATATAAAGTGGTAATAGTTTTTTGTTCTTTAAACCTTGATTCAAAGGAAGGGGTTCACTGTTTTACCACTGTTCATTCGTCTGTGTTGCTGTCAGTCCGTCCCATAAAAATATTGTCACACTTTTTTCAGAAAAAAAAATAAAAATCATAGCTTCCTGTAATTTGGAATCAAGCTTCATGTGAGCATGCTATACTGTGTGATGCCTGGCATCTATTGCTGATCAATACCCAATACTATAGCACAGTCTTATTTGTCAGCAATAACTTACATTTCAACTTGTCTTGGTTATTACTTTTATTTTTAGAGGGAAGTAGAACAGGTCATCATGAACTTAATATTTTCAATAAGAAACTGACAAACTCTATTCTGTATGTGTAGATCAAATTTACTTAGCTATTTTTGCCAATGACTGGCACCTATTAAGACTATAACAAATGTCCAAGGGTTCATATAGAGGGCATTCCACTAAAATGGCATGCTAGTCATTTTAAAATTATTATATCAATTCATTTCCAAATAAAATATTCAGTTTAAATAGTGTAACTTTAAAGTTTACTGTGTAACTATGAATGCATCATCCCACATTTCTACACAATATTTCAACGTTCTGTAAGCATTGTTCAGTTCCAGGTCGTAGATCCTTCTGTAGGAATTGAGAAACGTGTGGACATATTGATGGCTGATGCAAATAACTAACAGCTGTGAATTATTCATGACTACTATTTATGGAAATTCTGCTGTTGTCTAGCAGGAGTGCAATATCTATTTGGGATTTTACAGCACTAAATATATAGGGTCCCATGGCTTTTCTTGGTGATTTTAGGGTTTTTTTTATCATACCTAAACGTAACGATCTCACAGAAAATTTCCTAAAATTTCTATCAAAATGATTTTGTTATGAGGACAAATGTGAGCTTGCATTAGATTTTATTCATAACGCTTTCCTGGAGAAAATATGCAAATTATATAACAACCAATCAAAGATTGACATCTATTTCTATCTATACATGTGTATGTCATGTTCCCTAACATATGGACCCATATAATTTTATTTAGTTTATTATAACCTATAGCAGTTTCCTGTGAAGATTAAAATAGTGTTTAATGTCTTTTTTACTGAACTGAGGTCATTACCTATATGGGCATGATTCAATAGGTCATGTATCATTGACCGAAATATCTTTATATATAATAGGTAGATCATATTTGATGGATGTTTTACGAATATTCAGTTTGGCCGTTAGTCTGAGAGTGATTATAACATTATATTTCTGTATTATGTAGATAAAGTTTGATTAGTATGATTTTATAATTGTATCTACAGTACATATATTTGAAAGATACAAAATGGATACTCCTAATGGATGTGTTTAACAATTATTTAATTTTGGCAACTGTTTTATTGATTTTAGTTTTCAGAAATGGTTTCTAAAGAAATTGTCTTAACTTTAATGATACTGTGGAGTCATTTATTTTCATGGTTTTTCAAAGTACCCTTGTAGCCTAATGCACCTATTGAAAACTTTTGCATTGCTGAACTTTTACTTATACCCACGAAATCCACAATAATTAGTACCCCATGAATGATAATGAATCCGCAGTATTGATACAGCTTTCAAAATCTTGCTACCGGTAAATGGTTTTCAAAAACAAAATTTTGGAAAACTAGTACAGTTTAGTAATTTCTTATATTTCTGAATTGATAGATATAGAAAGTGTTGAGATACTAAGGTTCCAATTCAATCATTTCAATCTAAGTACACCTAAGGTGAATTTAGCTATTAGTTTTAGGTTCCGATTTGTCATATTCAAGTTGTTATACCTCCTTGGCTTTCAAATTTTTGGGTTAGGGCGTTTTACTTGTTTTATTATCAATAGGTGATGGCCCATATTTAAATGATTTTGCTCTTGGTATCAAAGTGATTGTTACAATGGAAACACTTCAATATAAAAATAAGAAGATGTGATATGATTGTCAATGAGACAACTCTCCACCAGAGATTAAAAAACATAGAAGTTAACAACTACAGGTCACGGTATTGCCTTCCACAATGAGCAAAACCCATACCGCATAGTCAATTTTTAAAGGCCCTGAAATGACAAGAAAATGACAAATGTAGTACAATTCAAACGAGAAAACATATGGCCTGATTTATGTACAAAACAATGAAGGAAAAACAAATATGATATACAGCAACAAACGACAACCACTGAATTTCAGGCTCTTGACTTGGGACATGCACATACAGAATGTGGCAGTATTAAACTAGTTTGCTGGCGCCAAACCCTTCCCCTAACCTAGGACAGTGGTTTAACAGTACAACATAAGAACAAACTATAAAAATCAGTTGAAATTTATTTTAAAGTAAGTTCCTTTGGGTAAATTTCTGCTGTATACTTTGAAAATTCTTGATTATTTAACAAAGATATATCATCATGATAAAGGCAAGTGTTTTTGAATAGGTTTGCATAAAATTGCTAATAAAATTCTAAGGGTAATGTCTTGAAATTATTTTTCTAATTAGGAACTTGGCATAGAATTTTGATAAACAGGACAACTTTAAGCCTTAAGTTTGAGTTTCCCAAGCCTCAAATTTAAGTCTTAAACAGTAAAGTTTTCAATGGGAGATAATTTCTATGTAATAGGAAACAAATGCTTCAGAAATCTAACCAGTGTTTTACAAACATGCTCACTATTGAATTATTTTAAGCATGAGAAATATCTCTACTTGAGACATATTTCAGAAATTACTAAAAATGTAGGACATTCAACTCTTTCCTTTGTAAATAATCTGCTTGATTCTTCAAGCACTTTCAAACAAGATGGATGTGTGTTGTTTAACCTGTTATGTCTGTTGTTTTTATTGTAACTGGCTATGTCTGATGTTTTTATTGTAACTTGCTAAGTCTGTTGTTTTTATTGTAACCTGCTGAGTCTGGTGTTTTTATTGTAACCAGCTATGTCTGGTGTTTCTATTGTAACCAGCTACATCTGGTGTTTTTAGTATAGCCTGCTATATCTACTGTTTCTTGTACACAACATCGCATCAGTCCTGTTTCTGTGACCTTTTGTTTTTGTATGGAGAAGGTGAAGAAATTAATTTCTTACTATCCATAATCGATAAATCTTACAATATAATACTGCTGAATGACCCATTCTATATGGAGTCTTTAATGGACTTTCCTTGGTCTGTCTTGGGAATACATAATTTATCCTGAAAAATGTTTTCAGTTTAGTTTATGTGAGTTTATTAAGAATTATGATGTACATGAGATGAAACTACTGCGTAACAGAATTGAGAGGTTTATTGTTTTACCCTTTTATACTTGTGACAGAAGTTCAGAACTGTAGATTTGTAAAATTCTGTCAGGAGTTTGGGTTTTTGTACCAAGGAATAAAGTAATTATACCCCTCAAAATGATAAGGGAGACAATTTTTAGGGGGTATGTAGGAATCACCCTGTCAGTCTGTCCATCTGTCTGTCTGTCTGTCGAAAACAAAAGTTTTGGGGTACATAGTAACCACTCTTTCAGTCTGTCTGTCCATGTGCATTGTAAGCACAACTCCTTCTTAACTGCAAAGTGTAAAACACACACTGAGAATGTGCATGAAGGAATATAATCCTGGCCCTATTTGTTAAAGGTAAGACTTAATGAGAACTTTTTTTTTTCAATATTGCAATATGTGGAAAATTGTCTCTCTCCTAAACCACTAAATAGATGTTTACCAAATGAAACTTTCCTTAGTTGTAGAACATTACCCAAGGGTGTGCATGAAGGAACTTAATCCCAGCTTAAACTATTGAAGGACAGATAATCTAATCTAGGGTCGAGGGGTATCTTGTCTTGAGTAAACTCATAGTTATAAGTCAATTTGAAATAAAAATATTATAGATTTATCCCAAAACTTAATGATGGATGCTCAATGAGGATCAAGATCCATATTCTCAGACAGGAGGTTCTCATGTACAGTCTTAGGTCAAAAGTGTTCCACCTATTGAAAATTTCCCTATTATTTCATATAAAAATACATTTTTTAGAAACATTGTCAAAAACTAACTTGAGGTGTAATTTTTTTTGAAATTTGTAATGTTGAACTCACAAATGTTTCTAATTGACCTAAGACTGTGTATATGCTTTTCACCTTGAAAGATGCAAACTGTCCCAAGCTAAAGTAAAGCAGTGGTAGCAGTAGTTTACTATAGTGAAATTGATGGTAATGCTCAATGACCTCTTTATGTACAGCATAATTATGAAAGCTCTATCAAAATGAAGACTAAATTTCAGTTATATCATTTCAAAATTGATTTTCACATATCAAACACATTTTATTTTGACAGTATACAAAATTCTAGGAGTCAAATATTTACCAAAGATGTTAAAATCGCATATGCACAATAAAACATTTAAAATATGACCATGTAAACAGATGTATTTTATTTTCAAGCATAAAAAAAAATCATGTAAAAAAAAAACCAAACAAACAAGAAAACCGTAAATTTCATAAATATTCATGATACGAAGCAGATGTTGTCTAGAAGGGAAAGTTTGATATGCTCTGCTAGCTGTTTGTTGCCTTTTTTTTTTCTTTTGTAATGGAAAACCTCTAATTTCGAATTTCTGTAATGGGGGGGAAATGTGTGTTTCTTAATTTTGGAGTCTCTAAAACTAGGAATTCTACTTCTACCAGATGTGTCGATTGTGCACTAATTGTTGAACCTTCAGTACCTTCAATTTAGTTAGAGAATATTTTTAAGCATTAATGAACTAGTGAGGAAGTTTTTTTTTCATAGTTCATAGTTTAAATGATATATTTATTTTCTGTCAAAGTATCTAGCAAATATCTTTTTTTTTGTGTCCTGGGGGTTGTCTAATTTTCATTACCTATACTCAAAGAGTGCACATTATTCTGGAATTCCATTAACCATCCATTCATCTGTCCATTCTTTAGTATTTTTGTCCCTGTGTAATTTCTGTTCAATATTACTCATCTTCTGTATAATTTAAGAATAATATGATATTTGTTCTGGAACTTCATATAAGTTTCAGTAATTCTATGTAAGTGATTTTAAGATCTGCTGGAAAGTCACTTTCTCTTTGATGATACTTTTAATTTTTTAGTTTACCACTGAACAATGATTTTTTTAGTATACCCACTGAGCATGGAATTTTTCGTCATATGATTCTCAGCTTCTGTATTCAGGAATTATTTGATATTTGATCAGGAACTTTATAATATTGAATTGACCTGTGTAAGTGATTTTCACATCTACCAGGCAGTCACTTCCTGTTCGATGATACCTTCATTTTTTTTATTACACCAAAGAGCATGAAATTTTTTGTCAATATCTATTAACAAGTGTGAGACTAGCAGGCAAATATGATAATATTTGTAAAAAAAATTGTCCTTATAGTCTGTAATTTGTTGAATTTAGCTTGAATCAATGCACAGATATAGTGTGCTCAGTACCTAGCAAGGAATTCTATTCTAACTACAATCTTCTCATATAACAATACAGTGAACTTTTGCTTACATTGACGGCATATCACTATGACTTTTAGATGAGAAACATCAATAAAGGCATTGTTCCTTTTATTTTGGTTTTGTCAAGTATATGGTGTGATTTTGAGTTATGAATTTATTTACCATACATTTTCTTTTATATTTGGTATATTGCAATGTTTTCTTATGCCATATCCTTCTTTATATTTGATATATTCACATTTCTACATACTTTTCTTTAAGATTTGATTTTTTTTCTTCAAAATACCTTAAAATGTTTATTATTTAAATTAAGGTGATGAACAACTTGCCAAGAGAAAAACAACTACAAAGCCTGAAAAGAATGTTTGCATCAACAAAAATAAACAAAGAAAGATCGAAGATTCCCCAGGAAGCACTGAGGATGTTTCAACGACTTATATGTCCGAGGACTCCAATAAGAGCCCTATGGATGATCTGTCCCCACTTAAAAGTGATCTAGAGGACGAAGACTATATAGTGCCACTCAGTGAAGAGTACAAGAAAGAGATTGAAAATTTGGAATCCCAGTATAAAATTGTCTTTGATTCTGGATATACAGAGGAACAAGTTCAGAAACTAACCGGTGACCCTAGATCTCCTGATGAGCTGTTTAATATGACCGACATATTCATACGCAGACTTATAAAATTTGCTAAACATATTCCAGAATTCAGGGCTTTGCCTCAGGAAGATCAGATACATTTACTAAAGGTAACATTTCTTATTTTCTAACATCCTTTGTTATTTATCACCTTTTATTCTGCATTTTGTTTTAATGTATATTTTTTTTTTTGGGGGGGGGGGTGTTGATCCACTTAAGTTGATAGATTTTTGTACTATATGTTATATGGTATTCAACAAAATTTTACAATTTATTTTTGTATTTTATCAGTTTCAACTTTCACATATTTTGTGAAAGCAGTTATGACAACAATACTTTATATATTTATGTAAATTAATTGATTGATTGATTGGTGTTTAATGCCACTTTCAGCACTATTGTGATATTTCTTGGTGGTCAGTTTTTATTGGTGAAGGAATTTGGAATCCTTGGAGAGAACCATGACCTTTGATAGGAATATAAACAATCCTAGTCAATTAAGTTTGGACTTGAGCACCTGCAACGTGTGGGATTCAAACTCACAACCTCAGTGTTCACAGGCTAGTGTTACAGTAGTTCGACTACTTATACCACTCGGCCATTCACAGCACCACCAGCTATATATGTCGTGGTAACCAGTTCACCAATTCTTTTACCAATGGTTTTGCATAAATCATATCTCAAATTAATATTACAGTAACATAATTATTAGAGCGTTTTCTTTGGACCAAATATATGTCATTCCAAAATTTAAAAAGGGTTTGTGACTCTTTCCAAAAATACTTATAAGTGACAGCACAATCAATTTAATCCTTAGATTTTTGTAGTATGAGTCATATAGGTGTGTGGCTCTTTTCACAAAAAATCTTACAATGAAAAGTTGATCTAAGTTATACTGAAGTATGCATGACATACAACAATTTTTTCTAGTAAGATTTTTTGGGATAATAGTTGCCTTACCTTTTTGATCAGCTAATTGAAAATAAAAGACATATCATAAACAGTCAGGTGTATAAGTATTAAACACACAGAAACCATAGCTGTAACATATTCATTTGTGGAATTATAAGCCCAAATATATTAATGGATGTGTAAGATGATTAACTACTGATTTTGTATGTTTCTATATTTGCCATAAATGTAAAAGCCTTGTTATACAAGCAATGTTATTACTAGTTAGCAAGATATTTTACATTTTTATCTACTAGGCCAACCGCTTCCTTTAAAAATGTGTAAAAATAAAGACTTGTGCAGTCTTGTTCCCTGCAAACAACTGACCACTATAATGGGTAATGAGGAGAATTCCTTGGCATGTTCATGTCCCAAGTCAGGAATCTTGTCAGTGTTTGTTTTGGTCTACAAAATTTGATGGCTTATCTTGTATATGGTCTCTGTTAAAATTATTCACCATTTTCTAAGACTCCAGGTAGATTATAAGAGTTTGATTTACTGTAAAAACATGTGTCTTTTGTTGAAGAATGTATGTTGACCTATAGATGTTTTTTTGTGTTGCTGGGTTACTGTCTCATTGAAGTATACCCACATTTATCTCTATTCATCTTGATTCCTACAGTAATAAAAAGCATTAGCCTCAATTCTGTCAGATTTGAAGTTAGTGATCCTTGGAATACAAACAGATGACCAGGATGTCTTTAGTAATGCATAAAAAGGAAAATATGTGTAACACATTTTTTATTTAAATATAAATTGTATCTTTTTATAATGGTACTGTTATGTCAAGTATTGAGCATATTTCATAGCAGTGTTTCATTTTTAGAAAATCCTAAAACTGAATAATGTTATCTTTTCATAACCTTGAAATTGGTATCATGAAAATACATTTTGTCAAAAATTATGTACATTATTGAGCAAGGGTGAGTGTTAAGGTCATACAACCCTGGTATGAAGTTTTCTTTAAGAAAAAAACAGACTGAAAATTTTAAAAAGATTATAGTTAAATTATCCATGTGTAAAATATATTTACATAATTTTAATTTAATGATAGAAATATGATAATTGCTTTATAAAACATGTAGGTATGAAACTGCAGTAAATTTGTTTTATGATTTTACAATTTTATTATGTTTAAGAGCATGGACATAAAAAGTTTAAAACTTTTATTTTTTATATTGAAAGATGTTAGATGCCTTTATTAATAGCAAAAAACCATAAAATTGATAATAAATGTAATAAAGCTGAAAATATTTTATCTACCCTGGCCATATGTATAAGTTTTAATGGTTTCACACTTTATGGTTTATTTTGTAATTTAATTTATCTAATTTTTATGTTTTAAAGATTATAAACTGTGTAACTAAAATAGAATAAAATTTTTATCCAGTGCTGCATATGCTTCAGATTGTATCAGAGTCAAATTTAAATCTGCAGTCATTATGCCCTTGATTTTGATGGACTAATTGTTTTTTGCTAAGCATCCAGTGACAAATAGTTTTGCACATTCAGAACCGCTCTTTATTCCAAGTCATTCATATATAACTTGACTATGTTCTTTGGCCTCTTTCCATTTTTCTAACCTCAGAGTATGTTCTTTGGTCTAATATAAATATTTGCTATTGATCTTGAAAAACAAATTTTGAATGACATTTTATACAACTGTCACATTTAGAGTGTTAAACAAGCTATATATTCTCGATGAAACAATGCCTTTTGTTGGTTTATATAACAGTTCCATCAGTTGTTGACTTGTGTGCTGTTTGGTGTATATAACAGTTCCATCGGTTGTTGACTTGTGTGCTGTTTGGTGTATATAACAGTTCCATCAGTTGTTGACTTGTGTGCTGTTTGGTGTATATAACAGTTCCATCAGTTGTTGACTTGTGTGCTGTTTGGTGTATATAACAGTTCCATCGGTTGTTGACTTGTGTGCTGTTTGGTGTATATAACAGTTCCATCAGTTGTTGACTTGTGTGCTGTTTGGTGTATATAACAGTTCCATCAGTTGTTGACTTGTGTGCTGTTTGGTGTATATAACAGTTCCATCAGTTGTTGACTTGTGTGCTGTTTGGTGTATATAACAGTTCCATCAGTTGTTGACTTGTGTGCTGTTTAGTGTATATAACAGTTCCATCAGTTGTTGACTTGTGTGCTGTTTGGTGTATATAACAGTTCCATCAGTTGTTGACTTGTGTGCTGTTTGGTGTATATAACAGTTCCATCAGTTGTTGACTTGTGTGCTGTTTGGTGTATATAGCAGTTCCATCAGTTGTTGACTTGTGTGCTGTTTGGTGTATATAACAGTTCCATCAGTTGTTGACTTGTGTGCTGTTTGGTGTATATAGCAGTTCCATCAGTTGTTGACTTGTGTGCTGTTTGGTGTATATAACAGTTCCATCAGTTGTTGACTTGTGTGCTGTTTGGTGTATATAGCAGTTCCATGAGTTGTTGACTTGTTTGGTGTATCATATATAGCAGTTCCATGAGTTGTTGACTTGTGTGCTGTTTGGTGTATCATATATAACAGTTCCATGAGTTGTTGACTTGTGTGCTGTTTGGTGTATCATATATAACAGTTCCATGAGTTGTTGACTTGTGTGCTGTTTGGTGTATCATATATAGCAGTTCCATGAGTTATTGACTTGTGTGCTGTTTGGTGTATAATAATATAGCAGTTCCATGAGTTGTTGACTTATGTGCTGTTTGGTGTATCATATATAGCAGTTCCATGAGTTGTTGACTTATGTGCTGTTTGGTGTATCATATATAGCAGTTCCATGAGTTGTTGACTTGTGTGCTGTTTGGTGTATCATATATAGCAGTTCCATGAGTTGTTGACTTGTGTGCTGTTTGGTGTGTCATATATAGCAGTTCCATGAGTTGTTGACTTGTGTGCTGTTTGGTGCATCATATATAGCAGTTCCATGAGTTATTGACTTGTGTGCTGTTTGGTGTGTCATATATAGCAGTTCCATGAGTTGTTGACTTGTGTGCTGTTTGGTGTATCATACATTGTGTTATTGATTTTTTTCCATCAGAATTTTCTTAGATAATTGTAAATAATAGGTCCCAAAAGAATTCAACTAATGCTGCTTCCTGATAATATTTTGTTGAAAAGGAAAATATCTAATTTGTTGTGACATCATAGACATGTCTGGAAATGTTTTCTGAACACCATAGAGGATTCTTTTTATTATTATTGTGTTGAATACAATGAGACAGCAACCTATAAAAGAGAACATAATAAAAGTCACTATGCATACATGAACAGTGTTCACAATACACCCATTGGATTAAGCTTTTAAGGGCACCTAAGCAAGTCCGAAACAATTTGAATTAAGTATACATTTTAACTTTAACTGATACCACAGGTCTACTACTTCAGGATGGTGGTTCACTATACCCATTAAGTATACATTTTAACTTTAACCAATACCACATGTCGACTACTTCAGGGTGTTTGTTCACTATACCCATTAAGTATACATTTTAACTTTAACTGATACCACAGGTCGACTACTTCAGGGTGTTGGTTCACTATACCCATTAAGTATACATTTTAACTTTAACCAATACCACATGTCGACTACTTCAGGGTGTTGGTTCACTCTACCCATTAAGTATACATTTTAACTTTAACCAATACCACATGTCGACTACTTCAGGGTGTTGGTTCACTATACCCATTAAGTATACATTTTAATTTTAACCGATACCACATGTCGACTACTTCAGGGTGTTGGTTCACTATACCCATTAAGTATACATTTTAATTTTAACCGATACCACATGTCGACTACTTCAGGGTGTTGGTTCACTATACCCATTAAGTATACATTTTAACTTTAACTGATACTACATGTCGACTACTTCAGGGTGTTGGTTCACTATACCCATTAAGTATACATTTTAACTTTAACTGATACCACAGGTCGACTACTTCAGGGTGTTGGATCACTATACCCATTAAGTATACATTTTAATTTTAACCGATACCACATGTCGACTACTTCAGGGTGTTGGTTCACTATACCCATTAAGTATACATTTTAACTTTAACCGATACCACATGTCGACTACTTCAGGGTGGTGGTTCACTATACCCATTAAGTATACATTTTAACTTAACCGATACCACAGGTTGACTACTTCAGGCTGTTGGTTCACTATACCCATTAAGTATACATTTTAACTTTAACCGATACCACATGTCGACTACTTCAGGGTGTTGGTTCACTATACGCATTAAGTATACATTTTAACTTTAACCAATACTACATGTCGACCACTTCAGGGTGTTGGTTCACTATACCCATTAAGTATACATTTTAACTTTAACCAATACCACATGTCGACTACTTCAGGGTGTTGGTTCACTATACCCATTAAGTATATATTTTAACTTAACTGATACCACAGGTCGACTACTTCAGGGTGTTGGTTCACTATACCCATTAAGTATACATTTTAACTTTAACTGATACCACAGGTCGACTACTTCAGGGTGTTGGTTCACTATACCCATTAAGTATACATTTTAACTTTAACTGATACCACAGGTCGACTGCTTCAGGGTGTTGGTTCACTATACCCATTAAGTATACATTTTAACTTTAACCAATACCACATGTCGACTACTTCAGGGTGTTGGTTCACTTTACCCATTAAGTATACATTTTAACTTTAACCGATACCACATGTCGACTACTTCAGGGTGTTGGTTCACTATACCCATTAAGTATACATTTTAACTTTAACCAATACCACATGTCAACTACTTCAGGGTGTTGGTTCACTAAACCCATTAAGTATACATTTTAACTTTAACTGATACCACATGTCGACTACTTCAGGGTGTTGGTTCACTATACCCATTAAGTATACATTTTAACTTTAACCGATACCACATGTTGACTACTTCAGGGTGTTGGTTCACTATACCCATTAAGTATACAAAGGTTTGGTATGAACAGTTTATAGAAGGACAATAAAAGCATATTTATACCCCATGCAACGAGTTGTGGAGGGTATAATATTTTGACCTTTCCGTCCGTCCATCTGTCTGTCCGTCCGTCCGTCAGTCCTGTTTCTTGTCATCGCAACTCCTCTCAAACCACACAACAGAATTTCACGAAACCTCTTTAGATAATAAGGACATACTATGTAGTTGTGCATATCGACAGGAAATTACGATTCAATTCTTTTTCTAGGAGTTACTCCCCTTTGAAGTTATTAACTGTAATGTACTACTGCAACAGTTTGTCATCGCAACTCCTCTCAAACCACACAACAGAATTTCATGATACCTTTTCAGATAATAAGGACATACTACATAGATGTGCATATCGACAGGAAATTACAATTCAATTTTTTTTCCAGGAGTTACGCTCCTTTGAACTTATTTGCCCAATATACTACTGCAACCTTTTGTCATTGCAACTCCTCTCAAACCACACAACAGAATTTCATGATACCTTTTCAGATAATAAGGACATACTACGTAGATGTGCATATCGACAGGAAATTACAATTCAAATTTTTTTCCAGGAGTTACGCTCCTTTGAACTTATTTGCCCAATATACTACTGCAACCTTTTGTCATCGCAACTCCTCTCAAACCACACAACAGAATTTCATGATACCTTTTCAGATAATAAGGACATACTACGTAGATGTGCATATCGACAGGAAATTACAATTCAATTTTTTTTCCAGGAGTTACGCTCCTTTGAACTTATTTGCCCAATATACTACTGCAACCTTTTGTCACTGCAACTCCTCTCAAACCACACAACAGAATTTCATGAAACTTTGTAGATAATAAGGACATACTATGTAGATGTGCATATTGACAAGAAATTATGATTCATTTTTTTTTCTGATACAATTTTTTTTTCTTACACTTATTTTATTTCTCCAATAACAATGTGGGGACGTGGGGTATGTGAGCGCGCTCACTAAGGTTCTTTCATAATAACTATGGATTTATTTCTTAAAAAAATTGTTTTCATGGTAATGGGGAAATATGCTAATTTATGAAATATTAAAAACACTCCCATAAAGAATGCAATCAGTGTTTAGCTGTTGATGCTGAAGGTGGATCACATCCAAAATATAGGAAAATTTAGGATATCTTCTTGTAAGGGAGAAGTAACCGACACTTGTGTTGTCTTTTTCAGGGTGGTATCATGGAAATAATGGTTCTGAGGTCAGCAATGGGATTCGATTCCCGTGCCATGCAGTGGAAAGTAAAAACAACTGAAGAAGGAGAAAAACGACTAGATCCAACAGTTATACAGAAGAACTTAGGAACGGGGATGTATGTTGAACATGTCAAATTTATCCGCAGTCTCAATGAAATTACTCGTGCAAACAAAACAATAATGACTTTATTATTTGTCATTGAACTGTTTTCATCAGACCGACCAAACCTCATAAATAAAGACCTTGTGTCAAAAGGACAAGAGAAATTCTCAGCATGGCTGCGAGCATATCTTGAATCACAAATCCCAGTCGGTGAAGCAAAGATTACTTACCCCAAACTTCTCATGAAGTTGTTGGATGTACGAAGTCTTGGTGAGTCAAGTGCTCAACTAGCCTCACATCTAGATATTACAAGACTTGAGCCCTTACTGGTAGAAGTATTCAATTTACAGAAGTAAAAATTTGTCAAACAGGAGATATTATATTAAACAATGTGAGGGAAATTTGAGTCATATATGTTGGTACTTTTAATATTGTTTCATGTTTATGATTATATGTTTAACGGCTCAAATTGAATTCATATGGTTATAAAAATCACAAATGTTCCGGGCATTTTATAAATATGAAATAGTGATTTTCCAAGTCACTGGCAGCAATAAATTATTAAAACTGCCTGATAACACCAGCATGCATTCCAAAAAAATGCACAAATAAATATTGGCAAGGGTAACGTGCCATTGGGCCTCTTGATCTCAGATGGTTGTGTAAAAGGGGCATGTGATACTTAGTTAAAAAAATAAAGACATCACACATCGTACTAAGGAAGTATCTCTGTCATTTTCAGTTTTATTTTAAAAACATCATAATATACACTCCTGTATCAGCTGTCTCCTTGTTTGATGTATATTTATTTTGCTTTCTAAATTTGTTGGAGGCTTAAAAGGAACACAATCAGTGTTGTATGAATGAAATTTTAAGATAAAACAATACAGAAATTACTTGGAAAATAAGGTGGTCACAATTTTACAGAAATGTTCATATCTTCATGTTTACTTGATATCAGCTGAAATCTCAGGAAATTGTTTACCTCTTAACCTATGCATTCATACTCATTGTGAAACATTATCGGAATAACTAGGTACAACTTAAGCTTATGAGGAACCTAATGTTGGTCAATTTCAGATATTTTTCAAGACAAAAACTAGATGTCTTTTTTCTGAAAGAACCTTAATATTTGTTGCTTAAAAGTTTGTTCTGATACAGATAAAAGGAGTATATTATAGAGCATGAAGATGCATAGTTAAAATAAGCGGTCTCTATATACATACAGTAACAATGAATTGTAACCACCATATTTATAATTCTCAGATGTATATGTATAAATTTTTCACATATTATTAGTTAATATTTATACACTTCTTTAAGTTTATATCTGTGAAGGATATAAAGACACAATATCAATGTGAATATCATTGAATAGAAATATTTAACTTCTACATTTTTGTAAAATACACCACATTTATATGATTCTGTAGTGAACAGTTTTATACTTAGCTGCTTTGTTGCTTACCTTGTAATTTTATAAAGACATTTTAGAACTTTTTGCTATTGAATCACAAATACCTGCATTAATATAGATAATAAAGTACATGTACAATTTTTTTAATTTTTTTCCCCTATTTCAGTAGAGTGTTTAAACAAATAATGGAATCACTCATTATCTTGTATACTCAATACTCAAGGTTCAGTTTAAAAGATGATTCTTCAATCTGCATATGTTTTCTTACAAGAGACCATTTTTTACGACTTAAAAAATTAATAATGCATTTTATTTTGGATGAAGCTATACTGCAATTTCTACAATTTTTTGGAATCTTTAATGTAGTATTTTTATGTCAGCCTGAATATTATTTTTTTTTTAAATCCATTGAGTAGTGGTTATTTAAACAGGCAGATAGTTCTTATTAATACCATATGAATTTGATTACACAATAATTCACTTAATTAAAATTCCCAATCCATGATAAATAATAATATTCAATAATTAAAAGTACATTGAAGTCCGCTATATCTCAGCTTGAATGTAAATCATAATAATACTCCTGGTATTTGAATGGTAAATTATTTCAGAATTTTATGGGGATAGTTAGCCAGGATAACAGATGCTTTGAAACTTTGACATTTTATTTTAATTAATATCAATAGATATTTGATTTAATGGTGGTTTAATGATATTGAATAATAAAATTGTACATACCAAGGCTCGTAAACAGTATTGTGTTATAAATACATAGATGTTTTGAGTTTTAACCTATCCTGATTAAAAACTACATAAAACATGGCAAGTCTATGGCTTTTATAAAAAAAAACATTTTGGCTTTCAAATTTGTCCTCTGTGCAGAAAATGAATATTTTTGAGATCACAAGAGAAAGTATCTGATCATTGATTGTTGTCACACATTTATGAAATGAAATGATGTAGTAGGTAAATATATAAATTAATAAACTTTCAATTTGATCCACTCCCCCATAAAAACATAGGGAAAGTAACTTAAAATACAATGAAGAAAGAGATCAGATAATTTGTATATCATTTCATAAATTGATTTATTAAATTTTACTTTTTTATTGTTAAATTTTTATTTAGAATAGACTTTGTATTAAGCTATATATGTACAGCAAATCTGTAGTGAAACTCGAGAGCCATAATACCTATGAAGATGATTTTAAATTGTCATGTTTTTTTCCAAAGAGAAATATAGATTATTCAAAGAATATAATTGAAGAAGCATTTTTACCAGTAATATATAATGATTGACAGACTGAGAATGTCTTTAAATTTTTTATTAAATTTGTATATAGAAAGAAAAATATCCAGTGTTCTCTCTTGTTTATTGAAATATTTATTTTTAATTGTGAAGTTTACCCAACTATTGAGATCATATGCAGAGAAAAGAGGTTAGTGTTGGGTCAAAGTGCATATTTTGATAAAAAAAAAATGGATGAAAATGGTGGTAATGAATAAGATATTGTATTTGAAAGGCAGATTTTTGTAACCCATTCCTGAATAATATGGCTTAAAAGAAAACTATGTGTTTTGCCGATGGATTGGAAATCAGTGTTCTATAACAAGAAAGTTTCCGGAGAGAAAGACGATTTATTTTTTTATAAAAAGATCAGCAATCACAAACCACAAATTTCTTTTGAAATGGCAAAAAAATGATAAAGTAGAGGCTGGGAGACCATTTGTAATAATGTAATCAGAATTTGTTTATAATGAACAATAACTCATGTAATGAGTATAATTATAAAATTGTACACAGGATCAAGCAGCTGATGTTTATTTCCATGTTTATCTACCATATGAATTACAGCCCGCATGATTTGAACATAAAATACTACCAGTTAGGTTTACGATATATATATCGATTATGTGTCTATTGTAACATATAAACAGTTTAAACAAAACAAGATTATTGTGGGTTTTTATTTTTCCATTTTCATGAGTTCATGTTTTAAACCATCAAATTGTCCTAATATGACATTAAAATGTAACAGTCACAAAAATGGAAACTATTTTTTCAAAATATGGATATAAGCCAAGTTATATAAGTATTTAGGACAGTACAATGACATTTCAATGTATCTTAATGTTTGCTTGACATGATCAGTCTATAGACCTATATTTTGGTTTTAATTTTTTAAGGAAAATGTAACTTGTATTATTCTACTTAATTCTTTTGCAGAATTAAATTTATTGTTTTAAAAACCTTTTCACATGCTTCTTTGCTTGAAATGGTATTTTTTGATGCTTGTATTGTAAATAGCTAATGATGTTGGTCTATTAGTTATTTAAGATAGTATTTTTTAATCAGAGTTATAAAGTGAAAAACTATAGTTTCCAGTTGAACTAAGAGCAATTTAGATGAAAATCTACATCACATGTAAAAAAAAAGATTTTACAACATGATCTAAATGTGAATATATTTAATAATGAAAGCTTCTTTTGTTTTGGCATGAACTAAATTTTACTGTGAAACAAACTTTGCATTGAAAAGTCAAAATGAATTATTTCTCAATTTACACTATATTGATCAAATGACTTGGATATATCTTGATCGGATCTGAAATTGACAAGTGTATCATTTCAAAATCAGAAATCAACACTCGACAGGTAAACAATGACAAATTATTCAAAAGAATAAAGAATTATTTATGCAGTAAAAGTTACAATGTAGGGCAAGTGGTGAAGGTAGATGTAATTGATCAAATTATGCATTGAGGAATTGAAAAGAGTAGAAAATCGATGGGGAAAAACATCAAACTTGTTAACGAGGAAATTTACGAGTATTGATTTCTCTGGTTGTTTTGATTGAACATCTTGTGTAGATATCACTACTACTACTGATAACAAGCTTTGTTTCTTAATTATTCAATAGTTGGCAAAAATATGAATCAAATCATCATTGTGTCATGATTGAACAATAAAGCCAAAAATTGCTTTTTTTTACTCAAACAGTAATTGAGCTCCATTATCCAAATAAATATCATCAAGTTTAATTTAAATGTATATGGCCTTTCCTTATGAAGGAACAGATTTTGATGATATCACACAAAGACATTCAATACTTGATTTTTATGAAAACTATGAAAAAGAACTGTTAACTCTGTTTCTTCTCTTTTGTTGCAGCAAAGGAATCATATGGTCTGCTATCTAGAAAATGTCAAAACAATCCATTAATCTACACCAAGGAGGTTTTGTAGTTTTTAGATTGAATGTGACAGGAATCTAAACTTGACTATAGTAATTTGTTGTTGAAGTTAAGGAAAAGTAAGATTTTGTAGAAATGAAGCCTTTTAAAGCCTTTCAAATTCTTAAAGTGGAATGTCTGTTTCCTTCCCATGGCTATGAGACATTGCCTTTTTTTTTAGCAAAACTAGCATTCTAGTGAAGCATGATCTAACTATAGGGGTTTCAAATATTCATGCTCAAGATGTAAAAATTCTCTACTCTTTGAAGGCACTTTTTAAAAATTTGCACATGTACCGGTAGTCCATGAACCTTTTCAAAATTTTGTTTCATTTATTACATTTGAACAGTTTTATATTTATTCTACGCTGAAATAGAATGGCCTTTTGATACAATAGGACAGGCAACCTGTAAAAAACATTTTAAATGATTTCTCAATCACTGTACATTTTGTACCATCATTAGTATGGCCCCTAAAAATAAAACGCTTTTCCTGTGTCCATTTTAAGGACAGACCTGTCAATAGATACATATTTTTGCAAGTCCATACTATAGGATTGACAAAAGCATGGCTTGATCCTGAAACCATCTGAAAGCCCTGACAAATATCACTCACCAAAATAAAATATAAAAGACTTGTACCAATTTAAATAAGTGTCTGTCATTTTATTTTCAGAAAATTGACCAATCAATATCGTTATGAAAGTGACGTAAAGTCATATGTAATTGTCAGCTAATTATATTTGTCTGTGAAGAATTTGGTCACGATTTGTTGTCCTGTTTCTTATCATTGGAATTAGCTGTAGGCAGATATGTTATCACTTTGATGATAGTTACCTTTGAAATAAACTGTGCAGCATTATTAATACAAGCTATATTAGTCACCTATTATGGTAGAAACAAAATTAGTTCTTGATAAAACCATGACTATTCAGCAGCTCCTTGTAATTAACTTTTTCCAAACAAAGAAATTGCTTATTGATTTTTGGAGATCATCCACATATGGCTTTTCATAATTCGTTGTCAAAGAGAGACAACTCAAATTAAATATCATGTTTAATATTTGACTTTGTGATGTATGATAAAGTAGAAATGTTTTAGAATATATTCTTGTTACATAAGTGATATGTACAGCACAAAACATTAACTTATGTTATGCATGCATCTGTATAACTTGAGCCATTCTATAGGTCCTTAAAACGAGAGTATATGTTACCTGTTTTAATGTATCATTCTTCTTTTATCAACTTTTTAATATTCATGATGTCTTTTTATTCAAAAGCAAAGGTTGCTTTTTGTTTTTGCTACTGCAAAAGTATTTTTTAGTTTGTTCTGTTTATTAAGTGAAATTACTTGTTGGGAGTTGGGATTCGTCAACTACCAGTAATTGGAAGCTCTAGAAGAGCATAAGAAAGTATAACATTATAATATTACATCCTTAATTTCCAAAAATAAAGTGGGATGAAAAAGAGAAGAATTAGTTTCAGTTTTTAATATTTTCTTTTGCTTTTAGCTGTGGTGATCATGAATACCGGTGAAACATAGATAAATTATTCCATACCATATATAATGGAAGGCTGGATTGCTTACTTTTGTACAACTTTTTGTTAAAAAATACTGATGAAATATTTTAAGAATATTTGACATAAACTTATTGATAAAGAGAATATGAATATGGTCTTTTAGGTGCAATCGAAAAATTTAAATTTTTTTTGAAACAGTGAACAGATCACAAAATTTGTAATGCATCTGTTACATGTACAAAAGAGCAGGAAGGCCTTCCCTTTATTTATTTGTTATTTGATAGCACCCACTCATTATATAGTAGTATGTACTACATCCTTACAGCCAGTTTAGTTGTTCCTTGTTTTGTATTTTTAGTCATGTGATCAGTGCTGTTTTTAGTTATGTGATCAGTACTGTAATTAGTCATGTGATCAGTGCTGTTTTTAGTCATGTGATCAGTACTGTGCCATTTGT